ATCGGTCTCCTGGCTACATATCTCATGATCTCGGCTTTGTTATGGGCCTGTGTGTGCTCCTGTGTGTGCTCCTGTCCACCAGAGTCAATAACAACAGGCATAGTGCACGCTGTGCAGACCACTGACCACCGCACTAGTAGCCTTATTGTGATGGATGTTCTCTGACAGCAGTTTACATGTATTTCACATTCTGGAGTTGATGTTCTTCGGCTCTAGAAAAAGCAAATCGATGAGACCACGCGGGCGAGGCAATATTGTTCCTGTAGTGCAGGGTTGGCCTGGCTGCGACGATGCACACGGTGTTTAGCAGCCACGGCAGCAGAGCCCTGGGGGGATCAGCGGGCTTGGTCTTTCGATAGCATAAATCCGATCGTTCCCTCAATGATTCTTTGGTGCTTAGCAAGTCTGAATCTAAAATCGCTAGAATATCGCGTGCGGTGTGGACCGGGCTGAATGCAGAGCAGTGGTGGCCAATTCTTGGGCATTGCAAGCTGCTGAATAGTGCATTCCCAGCACGTAATGTTACCGGAACTATTGGCCGGCTCCTCAAGTCGTTTCCCTATATCTATACCCTGGAAGCCTGGAATGATCTGTCCTGTGATGTGTTACATACTCCACCGACCCTCAAGTCCTTGCAGACATTCAGAACCAATGCACACCAACACCTTCTAATAATAATAATAATCTTTATTTCAGGATTACCCAAAGGCTAACGCCTATCTGGGGGATCTCCTATTTGTGTATGTACTAGTAACATAGTTATGGATGCGAGAGAAAGTGCGCAAAGTGAGTGTGAAATGTTGGTTTTAAAAAGGAATAATAAGAAACACAAGGAAAGAAAGTAAGACAGAAAAGAAAAGAACAAGCATGTAAATCAATGATTGCACATCAAAGGTGTACCAGTGCAGTCGAACTGATACTTAGCAATGTGAATACGTAAATGACGCTTGAATTCAGATAGGGAATCTAAAGTTGTCAATCGGGATGGAAGACAATTCCAAAGAGAACCAGTTTTCTGTAGGAAAAGGGATGAAAAAATACGACCATGTGAGTTAAAAATGAGCTTTTTGGGCCTACGGGCACTACGTGATATGGTTATCGCAAAGCGAGAGAGATATTCTGGGTGAAAATTGATGTACTTAAATAAAACCACAAGAGAAATAAAGATACGGCGAAATTGCAGAGATTCTAAGTGACACAATCTATTCAAATTGGATTTTGATTCATAGATATCAAAGGTTATTTTTGCAGACTTCAGGAGTCGCCGCCCAACCTTAGCCTGGAGTACATCAAGGGACTCTAACTGAGCGGATGTGATCCTAAATGACCAGACAGGAATGGCATATTCAATTGCCGGACGCACATAAGACTTATACAAGAGGAGAATATGGGACGATGGTAAATGTCTACCCATGAAACATAACAGGTTGACTCGTTGCTGAAACTTCCTGAAGATGGTGTGGAAGTGGTCATGGAACTTCAAACCATCACTGAGCTGTACGCCGAGATGCTTAGCAGAACGTCCAAAGGGAACGCCGTCCATTAAAACAGAGGAGGAGTCAGGAATGTCATGATTCGAAAAGATGAAAGTATTAGTTTTTTCTGGAGAAAATTTCCCATGGATATTCTGAGCCCAATTCTGGCAGCTGGCCAGATCCTGCTGGAGGTGGGACATGTTCTCATCTAAGGAGAGGGATACATTATGAGCATTTAGAAGAGTGACATCATCAGCAAAGAGAAAGGGTGAGGTGTGGTTTACTATGTCAGGAAGGGAATTGATATACAAAAGAAAAAGCGGAGGGGCAAGGTACGAACCCTGGGGAACACCACAGTTTAGCATATATTGAGAAGAGTGAGTTCCATCCAGCTTCACATTTAGACTACGGTCAAGCAAGTAGGACCCAAACCAGGCGTGTGCCTCTGGTGCCATGAATGCATTCATGTGGCGCAGGAGCGTAGGATGATGTACTTTATCAAACGCTTTCTGGAAGTCGAGAAATGCACAGTCAAATCTCTGGCCTCTATCAGAGAGACGGGCAATCTGATGGGTCAAAAGAATGAGTTGATCCGTAGCTGATCGTTGTGGACCGTAAGCAAATTGACTGGGCGAAATTATGCAATTGCGGTAAAGAAAGCTGTTCAGCTGATGGGCTATGCGGGATTCGAAGAGGCGGCTGATGGGATGGAGCAGTGAAATTGGACGGTAGTTCGTGGGCAAAGAAGCACTTCCTTTACCCTTAAAAAGAGGAATAACCGTTGCTGATTTCCATGCAGTGGGAAATTGTGATGTGGATAGACTGGAGTTGAACAAGTAAGACAAGCACTCGCATACTAAATCAGCCATGGACCGGAGTACTGGAATAATATAATTACTTGAAGTCGATTTTCGAGACGAAAGATGTGTAAGGTCATAGTGGACTTGACCTGGTGAAAATGTTGGCATCTGGAACCGAGGAGTGGTAGTGTCAAGGGAGGAATCTAAACAAGGGAATTGATTTGCTTCTTGTGGTAACGTACACTGATTGGCGAAATGCTGTGCAAGAAGGTTCACCTTTTCCAATTGCGTGTTAGTCCGACGATCGCCATCTTGCAAATCTGGTATCAATGGTTTACGAGTTGAAATGTTGCTTCGGCAAACTCCCTGGATTTGAGCAACTGATCACACTTTTTCTTTCCCTTTCTTTATCTTCTTATCTCTCTTGTCAGGGGCGGATACAGGGGGGGGGGGGGGGTGGTTCAGGGGGTTCGGACGAACCCCCTAAAATAATTTCGAACATGGGTCCAGTCAATTTTTTGTGATATCCACGTGCGCAGCCAGCGAAGTGTAGCGTACATGCAGCGTAGCCAGTATACTTCACTACAATAGCATGCATCCTGCATGCAGTAGTCACGTACAGGCAGTGCAGGTACTATTAGGGAGGTTCTGCTATACGTGAAACGTAGAGAAATCACGTAGAGAGCAGGTGTCTGGGTTAGAGTCTACGGCTTCGCGTGTTTTGGCTCCAGATTTCTACGCGGAGATGGGGTTCTCTACGTTGTGGCACACGCAGAGAAAATGCGTACGGATTTGCTGGGTATCGATCACACACAGAAGTCTAGTCTCTGCTGTGAGCACGGTGGCTCGGCAATGGCTTTATTTATTATTATTATTATTATTATTACCAGTCAATATTATTATTCAAATAATCTACGTGGAGATAAAAGTTTAATAATAGCAATGAAAAGTATGAATGCCGCAGACATCACCACGCAACATGACAATTTGTTCAAGGTTTGGTTTTGTGTGTTTCCAAAATCGATTTTCACGTTCCGATCATCAGTGGAAATACGGAACTAAAGAGATCAAGGGAAAAACAAAGGTTAAAAATCCAAAGAAGTGTGACACATGACGGGTAACTTGTGGTAAGTTTTACAAAAAGTGAGAACTAAAATAAAGAGTAAGTGTGACAAACATGTTTTAGCACTTAGGTTATTTTCGTGAGTTTGCACCCCGTGTTCATGAGTTGTTTCTGCACTGTTCATGCCCATTTGTCACACTTACTCTTTATTTTAGTTCTCACTTTTTGTAAAACTTACCACAAGTTACCCGTCATGTGTCACACTTCTTTGGATTTTTAACCTTTGTTTTTCCCTTGATCTCTTTAGTTCCGTATTTCCACTGATGATCGGAACGTGAAAATCGATTTTGGAAACACACAAAACCAAACCTTGAACAAATTGTCATGTTGCGTGGTGATGTCTGCGGCATTCATACTTTTCATTGCTATTAATATTATTATTATTATTATTATTTATTCATATTTTACTAGGGCAGTCCCCACAGACCTATGGTCTTCTTACAGGGTGCCCTAGCCACGTGAAGATAGCGGAGCGAAATGCAGCAGGTAGGGATATGGTGCGAATCTCGGCAGGGAGGGCGTTCCATCGGTCAGCTCCAAGATAAGATACAGAGTGATAGCCAAAATACAATCTGGCATGGGGCAGTACCAGGCCTATTTTATTTATTGATATTATATCCTCTTCCTGATTTTTTTTCATAATTGGATGCATAGAGATAAGAAAAATAAGCACAAGATACTGATGCTGCTAGTCGCACAGCAAAGCACACAGAAACGACAAGATGTTACAATGAATGTAACAACACCCGACCCGTCCAAGCTAAAGGACCTACATCCCTGCCCCAGGACGGTATCTTGAAAAAACCCACACACTCACCACACGGTCATCATCCAGCTTCAGTTCAATCACAATACAGTAGTATTCTTCCCATGCAGATTCAATTGAACTCCCCTGGCACTAGCTATACAATCTGAAGCTGTACGTAACCATACAAAGGCCCGCGACGCACACACCACCCCTACGTTTTTAAACTAAAAAAGAAAAGCAGTCGTAACTGCCACAGCCACATGGCCAATAAGAAAGCCGATGATACTAGGGAGGTTTAGTTCCCACGTAACGGAAACGCGTACGTGGGTGATCCACGTAAAGTGGATGAAGAGTGGATGAAGGGCACCCACGTTGCAATGTTGTGTTTAGTCACACGGAACAAGCAAAAGCATGAAGCGAAAGGCCCAAACCTGGTCAAAGACGAAGCTACCCGGGCCTAAGAAGCTCATCCAATATTTTGATTTCGTGCTTCGGAAAATTCTTCAGCTGAGCACCCTCACAGCTCGCACAATGCGCTCCATTCTGATTTTCACCCACGTTCTGGCGGAACGTGGCCGTGGGTGAGCCTCCATACACGCGGTATGTCGTGAATCAGAAAACGTCTAGTCTGTACGTGGGTCACTGAGTATCACGTGGTACACACACGTAAAGTACCCACGGATTACGTGGGACTAAACCTCCCTATTATATCGATAAACACCCACCCAGAAGTCAGGGGTGGGAGGGTGGGATACAAACTGCACCAACGAAAAGCCACTGCGAAGTGACAGGAATGCGGTCAAGCACAACATTTTTGCTGAAGCAAAAAGTTGCAGGGAAATCCCAAAACCAGTGCTCAGAAACCATACCAACCAGGGAGTAGTAAAATACAGTATTTTACTACTCCCTGATACCAACTACAATCATTGTAGGGGGAGTCACCCAAGTTTGGTTGTGCATGTGGCGAACTGAAACTGATGTGACGGATGCTACATGTACAACTACTTTTGGCAAGAGTACACAACCCCCTGTACTCTGTACTCTTGCTTTTGGGTATCACCGGATATCGGCCATATCGGGGCTTTCGTGTGGAGCCCTTTTTGGTTCTAATATTTTCGGAACAAGCCTCAAAAAATATTTACGATCGTAGAGGGCCCCGGGCCGGCCGGCCTACGTCGAGGACGACTACATGAACTGCAACACTTGTAATTGTGGCGCAGGTAACATGATCGAGGAGACATTTGACCTGTTTCTGGAAAGAAGTGGTTCTGCAGCAGACAACAATGCAGGTGTACACATGTTGTGTGTTGGTGACTCTACTTGGTGCGGAAGCTCTAGCACTCCATAGCCCTGTTGCTAATCCCGGTAAGGATGTGTGTTGTTTCTACTCCAGAAGTACAGTGCGTATCGGTTATAGCGTGGTCGTGTAAAAGAATATACTGCCTACAAGAATGAACTCTCATGTTTTCATAATCATAACATGGATTTCAAGTGCACATTTATTCTTACAAGCAGTTTTATCCCATAGAATATATCGGTCCTAAGAATGGACTTTGTGTAGCGAAACATGCCAGATTGGTACAAAGTGCATCGCCTGTAGTAATAGCATCTGTCCAATTCCGTTTTGATCTGACTCTCGTTGCGTCGTAGTGCTGCAGATTCAACTGTTGTGATCATGTAACTCATTTTGCATAGCCACATGGTAAGCCTATGGGACTATGCACGGCTGTCAAGAAGCGGCAACTTAGAAAGATGGCGTCGGTTCGAGATGGCATGGTAACCGCGCACGTGCCGTGGTCCGTGACTTGCTCATGTATGCACGCAAATGCAAGTCACAAACTCACAAAGATCGTCTTTGCATTTGATGAAAATATCTTCGACTCTCTTTGGAGGTTGGCGAGGTTTGCCTAATCTTTACTTGATTGCGATGCCGGTATGTCCTCTCAAAAATTAGAACAAAGAGAGCTGATGATCGCTTCATTGCTGAGCAGAAGTAACAATCAACTCTCCTCAGTGCCAAAGGCAGACGACTGCAATTCCACAACGCTCATTTAACGATGATGGAAACAATAATCGTGTACTAGTACACACTTGGACCATTTGGTCATCCCTGTTCTAGCCGCTAGTCCGTCCAGCAAGCAGATATTGACTATTACGATAAGGACAACTGCGTGAACGAGGGCTCACCCAGCAAATTCAATTCAAGACGTGACTCCAGTCAAGAATTAGGGCCTTTACTCGAGAACTTCACAAATACAGGTCAAGGCACCCCACAAAACTGATAGATGGCACGAACGAAAGACAAATAGGCTAGACAAAGTGTCCCAAGTGATTGAAAACAGCAGATCTACCAAATAAGACAGCTACATGTGCCTAAACAACGATTCCCATACAGTAGAGAGTAGTATCAGGCAGAATGAAAGCCTTGGAAGTGCACAAATACAGCCACGACCGCCACAAAAATTGGACGACCGCCACAAAAAAATTCTCATTGCTCTACCTCCTTGAAGGGTGAAAGTTACCAGTTATCCTATAGCGATGTCAGTTTATGCCTGTTGGAACCTCCCACAGCCCGCACGAAATACCTTTCAAATAATTCCAGGATGCAATTGCAGCTCCAGACAGGAGGAAGAAGAACACCGTAATAAAATAACGGCAACGATGCCCAAACTCTCGGGAAACGGCTGAAGTCTTCCTGAAGATGTTAACATTGAATAGCCATCGATTACCAGCGTGGTTTGGTGACTTTAGAACTGTTTTGAGACTTAGAACGAAGCGATATCTCAAATTTGATGGAATTGTTACCTGTCAAATGCGTGGGCGAGCAGGCCAGCTGACTGGTTATGCATGAACATGCATGAGCATGCATTGATTTTTCATGGTTCACGTGCAGAAAACTAAGTTGCCGCGATCCAAGTGCAGCTAACAGCCGTGTATGACCAACCACATGCAAAGAAGACAGTACTGCGTTGCATGTTTTTTTTTTTTTTTTTTACCAGAGCCACGTAAACCCGTCATGTGTGAGCCATGAATAAGGGGAGTGGTGGCGTGGTCTGGGATGCTCTGGCGGCCTTGGGTCTCGGCTTCATCACAACCAGGCGCGCCAATAGCAGAGAGAGAGAGAGAGAGAGAGAGAGAGAGAGAGAGAGAGAGAGAGAGAGAGAGAGAGAGAGAGAGAGAGAGAGAGAGAGAGAGAGAGAGAGAGAGAGAGAGAGAGAGAGAGAGAGAGAGAGAGAGAGAGAGAGAGAGGCAGAGAGACAGACAGGCAGGCAGGCAGAGAGAGAGAGAAAGAGAGAGAGACAGAGAGAGAGAGAGAGAGAGAGAGAGAGAGAGAGAGAGAGAGAGAGAGAGAGAGAGAGAGAGTGAGCGGGGAGGGTTGGGGAGCAAGAGAGAGGGAGAGAACTAAATATAGTATAATTATATAATGCGTAAGGGGTGCACATTCAGATCCAGAGAAAAGGGTAAGCAGGGCACACGAGGCGTATGGCAATATGCAGCAGTGTGTAGGCAGATGTGCATACATATTACAGAGTGTCAGTGGCCCAGTGCCATTGCTGAGCACGGAGGTGCCGGAAGACAGACACTTTGAAACTTTGCAGCCGTTTCCGGTCAGGTGGCTGGCTGAGGACGGCGGGTGGTAGGGCATTCCATACAGGGACAGCACAGGCGGGGAAGGCTCTACGGCAACTTTCCCGGCTGTTGACAGGTAGCCCTGTCTCAAGCTGGTAGTTATGCATGTCGAGACGGACGAGGGAGAGACGAGTGTGTCGAACATGGGCTGGTCGGGGGACTTGAGAGGGAGGCAAGAGCTGACGAAGTGGGCTGGTAGGATTGGAGCACAGGAGCTTGTAAATGTAGGTGCAAGCAGCTACCATGCGCCGGACAGACAGGCTTTGCAGCATTGCGCCGGGGCCCATCAAGTGGGGGGCTGAGCGTTGCGTCTGGTCAAGTCGCTGCAAGTGACAATCTGCTGCGCCCATCCAGACCAATGGGCAGTACTCCATTTCTGGGCGCACAAACCCACGGTACACTGTAGCTCGGCTGCGAGAATCCAGGAGCGGCGAGGCCTTCCGCAGGAGCCCGAGACGCTGGCGTGCTCTGATGGCGACGGTACGGAGGTGGTTGCGGTGGGAAAGTTGGCTGTCCAAGGTTACCACAAGAAGCTTGAGGTTACTCTCTGCATTCAGGGGTACACCCGCAAACTGTACTGCTGGGAGGTCCCAGGCGGGGCGGTGATGGTCAATAGTCATGGCCTGGGACTTTGCTGGCTCGAACGCAATTCTCCAGCTGGTGCCCCAATTCACAAGGGCATCGAGGGCATTTTGCAGGACTGTCGAGCTGTGGTCAATGGTATCCATGGTGGACAGGCACTGAAACAGCGTTGTGTTGTCAGCATAAGAGGCCAGATCTACGCCTGGTGGAAGGTGGTCATCGGCACCGTTCGTGTAGAGAATGAACAGTGTCGGTCCCAACAAGCTACCTTGCGGAACTCCGGCTGTGATGCGGTGTGGGCTGGACGACTGCCCACCAACGACGACACTCAGGCGCCTGTCCAGCAGGTAGTCCTTCAACCATGCAAGGAGCATGCCGGATACACCGTACTGCTGGGCTTTGTGGATCACACCTGGGTGGGAGACTCGATCGAACGCGCCAGTGATATCTACAGCAACAACTCGTACAGCTCCGCCCCCTGCAGCCACGGTACTCCAACGATGGTGTAGTAGGGTAATGAGGTCCTGCGTTCCCAGGCCGGAGCGGAAGCCGTACTGGTTAGTGGTGAGGATGTGCTGGCGCTCAAGGAATCCCATAAGGCTGCGATTGATGATAGCTTCCATGACCTTTGACAGTATTGGCAGCAGGGATATGGGCCGGTAGTTCTTTGTTGTGGACTTCGAACCCTTCTTGTGTACAGTTGCTACTGAGGCAAGCTTCCAAAGTGACGGTTGCCGGCCTTGGCGGAATGCTTTGCTGAAAAGCTGGGCCACAGTCCTGCACAGTTCCTCACAGCACTGCTTCAACACTCGTCCTGGTACACCATCTGAGCCAGTGGCTTTGGACGGGACAATCTTCCTCAGTTCACGGCATACCGTTCGTGGCCTTAGTGGATGGTACTCAGACAAGCATCAGATCGCGGGCGGACATACGGGAGGTTGCTGGCATCAAGGTCATCACCAAGGCTGCATTTCGCTGAAAAGTAGCGTGCAAAGCTCTCTGCTTTGTCCTTACCGGTGGTGAGCTCCGCGCCGTTTTCCTCCTTGAGGGTAGGGATGTCATGGCTACGCCCACACCCACCGGCACGCTTGACAGTGGACCACCATGTACGATGATCTTCTTGCCCCTGCACACATGCATGTGATATGCCACACTTGATTTATCGTGTGTAAGAAATATCGGAAATAAGAATAGAAAGTCGTTTTTCAAACACCCACGCTATAACCGATACCTACTGTACTAGTACTAGTAGATCTTGACCAAACGTAGGTACTAGGTACTCAGGGTCGAAAAACATGTTATACTCAGGGTTCTAGCCAAAGGGGTAGTGGGGCGCAGCGCCCCCTCCCCCTACTTATTCATCGCTCAGATTGCGCTTGCCCTGCTTCTGAATACGTACATGCAGCTGTAGCTGATCGATCCTCTTCAATTTTCCGTACCAGTTTGCTCAAATTCCCTAGTACGGACAAAGGAAAGATTTTCCGTACAAATACGGAAAAATACGGAAGGTTGGCAGCACTGCAAGCCACATGTGTACGTTTCTATTAGTGAGGTTCTGCTCTACGTTTCGGGAATGCGACGCAAAGAATCACGCGAACTCTCTTCGCGTTCCCGTAATATAAAGAAATCCAGTTCTGCTCTACGTTTCACGTAGAGAAGTCACGTGCTGTCCCCGGGGGAAATCGCGGAAAAAATCGCAAAAAACGTGGCAAAAAATGCGGCATAATATGGCAAATTTGCGGTGAATTTGCGGTAAATATGCAGTGAATATTATTGATATCATCTCGCGGCGGCAAGTTTGCAGTTGATATGAGGCAATTTTCAGTGAGTATGTAGTGAAATCAATCAGTTACAAGTCTCTGGTGTAAGCACTCGTCATAGTTGAGTACAAAGCCGCCACGATGAGACGTTGCTGACCGAACAGTGCACTGTGTATACGTGTAGTGCAACAAAAAAGTTCAAAAATCGCGGAAAACGCGGTCTTTTAAAAAATCGCAAAAAACGCGGAAAAAACGCAGCCGCGGAATCGCGTTGTTCCCCGGAGATTAACGCGCATTAACTTGCTTACCCTTCAATTCTAATTACATTTCCTGAATCCAAACACGCAAACATGGTGTCTTTGCTGCACCCATCACTTTATAATAACGTCAGGT